ATTAAATACAAAACTTATTGACAATGAATTCACCTGGACCAAACTACTTCACGCCAAAGCATATGGTACTCATTTTACTGGTTTGCCTATTTTTGGTCACTGTTTTTTACAACTTTAATGAAAGTCTTACTAATCGGCAAATAGTTAATATCAACAGGCTTACAAATGTACGTAAAATACACTAATTAATACTAAATTCCTATAACATGTAATCATTATTATAATGCCGTTATAATGACACTCTCTATCACTATACATAATTTATTATGCAAAAAAATTTTACACCTTGATTTAACATAAGTTGACATAACAGTTAACATAACGGATACACTAATTAATAATGAATGGTAACATAATTATGTATAATATTAAATGTACCGTAATTCATACAGTACTAAAATACCTTTACATTAATACTAACTTAGTTATAGTGACATTTTTATCACTATACATAATTTATTATGCAAAAACATTTTATACCTTAATTTAACAAGCACAATAAGCTCAAAATGACGTCATTAAATTTAATCTAGATCAAATGACTCACACTGCACTCTAGATCAAATTCTTATCCCAAAAAATTAAATAAGTGTTTTTATATCTTAACTTAAATATAATTTTCAATATTTTTTCAGTCATTTTATATAACTTCAGGTAATCAATGAGTACAGGACGGGGAGCGCCAGGAGTTCACTCGGCTATCACCGGCAGCTGGTGCTCAGCCAACACGCGCTGGACTTTATGGAGACGGCTATGAACCGGGAGTTACGGCTAGTTTTGATCGATCCGTTGATTCTCTACGATATTATCGGTTATAACGATAGGAAAGTGTTGATTAAAAACGACTTACTGTCCGATCAGTTGCTAAAAGACCTGCTTATGAACCGTCAATACTGTACGGCATTCGCCATATTCACCGACGATGTGACGGTGCTTAAGGTAAGGGTAGCAAATAAATATGTATTTACTGATGGGGTTTTTAATTATTCATGTTTATACATGGTCATAGAAAATAATATACAAAGTTCACAGAATTTATTTATCAAGAATTTAATTTGTAATTATAAAGTATTACAGAATTATACGAATTAATTAACAGAATTACATAATTAATCACAGAATATAATATTTAATTATAAAATTTATTCACTTAACCTCCAATTCCCTAACAAAAACAGGTAAACCTGAGCCCAGCCCTCAATAAACTCGGTTTCAACGAAACCTTAATCGAGGGGCCGGACGGAAGTCTCCGGCATTTCACCAAAAACTCCTCAGATTTGCCGCAAACCCTACTCCACGCCGTTTACACCAAAGACAACGACTGCATACAGATCTCCGTACTTCACAAACGCCATGAGTTCCTATGGATGGGTCAGGTGCCCGACCAGTACTTTCTGCCAGACC